GGCATGGCACCAATAGCCGCATATGGATAAGCGGCGGCTGCCGGCGCAGCCATCATTCCAGCTGGGTAAAAGAAACCTTGCTGTTGCATTGCAGCCGCAGCGGCGGCAGCGGCATATTGCGGATTACCAGCGGCGGCTGTAGGTGCGGCAGCCAGCTGCATAGCCTGAGGACGCAGCGCATTGTGCGCCGCAGCTGCGCTAATATAACCGCCAGCAGCCGAAGAAGGTCGTGTCAGTAGTCCACCGGCTGCTGCAGCTGCGGTGCCTGGTGTGGGTGTATGCACTCGCGTACCGACAGGTGTCGACATGCCCGAATTGGGCAGCGAACCCGCCGACAGGGCTGAACGCTGCAGCTGCTGCGCATATGCGGCATGCTGTGCATGAGCGGCAGCCAACTGCTGAGACTGTGCCGCCTGTTGGGCATGTGCGGCGTGCTGCAGTAGCGCGGCATGTTGTTGATGGGCAGCTATGGCATTGGCGCTACTTGGCAGCGCGGTCATGTAGGCTTTACCCAATTGTAGGCCGGCATAGCTGGCTGCGGTTGGCATGGCAGCGGCAGCAGCGGTAAGCGGTTTGCCGCTCAAGGCCGTTGCGTTGGCAGCGGCGGCCATCTTCATCGCATTAATATAGTTCTTTTGTGCGGCCTCCTTGGCAAGAGCGCTGGCATCGGCATAATAGCCTGTAGGCGTAGCGCTGCCGTAGGCACTGTAGGCATAAGTAGGTGTTAGTGTGCCAGTGGCAGCAGCCGATGAAGGCGTAATGCCATACGCTGAGGCGTACGATGGTACAGTCATGCCGGACGCGGCGGACATGTGCGCCATTGTGGTTGTGGGTGTGGCATAGCCGCCATGAGAAGCCGCCAGGAGGTTGGCGTACGAGGTGGCCACGCTTGTGGGCACCGCGGCGTACTGGTTGTAGAGACGCAACATTTGTTGTTGCTGATGCTGTTGTTGTTGGGCATGCTGGTAGGCAACCGCTGAGGCGGCGGAAACAGCCGTGGAGGCAACCGAATGTGGTGTGGGCAATATGCCAGTGGCGGCGGTGGATGAAGTGGAGGTGGCGTGACCGTTCAAGCCACTGTAGCTGTTGTAAGACTGCGAGTCGGCGTGCGCGCCATTCGAAAGACTGGTGGACGGATAAGAGGAGGCGGCTGTGACATACGCATGTGCGGCTTGTGCAGCGTGTGCTTGTGCTTGTGAAGCGTAAGCGGCGTATGCGGAGTAAGCCAAGTCGTTGGCGGTACTAGCGGCCGTTGACGCTTTGTGTGTGGTGTACTTGACCGGCGAATTGGCGACGCTGTATTGGTTAGCGGAAGCATTGTACGTGTACTTGCTGTAGCTATAGCTATTAGTGATGCTG